AGCGAAGCGAAGCTAAGCTAAGCTAAGCTAAGCTAAGCTAAGCTAAGCTGGCTAGGCAAAGCTAAGCTAAGCTAAGCTGAGCTGAGCTAAGCTAAGCTAAGCTAGGCTAGGCTAGGCAAAGCTAAGCTAAGCTAAGCTAAGCTAAGCTAAGCTAAGCTAAGCTAAGCTAAGCTAAGCTAAGCTAAGCTAAGCTAAGCTAAGCTAAGCTAAGCTAAGCTAAGCTAAGCTAAGCTCAGGGTAAGTTAAGCTAAGCTAAGCTGGGCTAGGCAAAGCTAAGCTAAGCTAAGCTGAGCTGAGCTAAGCTAAGCTAAGCTAGGCTAGGCTAGGCAAAGCTAAGCTAAGCTAAGCTAAGCTAAGCTAAGCTAAGCTAAGCTAAGCTAAGCTAAGCTAAGCTAAGCTAAGCTAAGCTAAGCTAAGCTAAGCTAAGCTAAGCTAAGCTAAGCTAAGCTAAGCTAAGCTCAGGGTAAGTTAAGCTAAGCTAAGCTGGGCTAGGCAAAGCTAAGCTAAGCTAAGCTGAGCTGAGCTAAGCTAAGCTAAGCTAGGCTAGGCTAGGCAAAGCTAAGCTAAGCTAAGCTAAGCTAAGCTAAGCTAAGCTAAGCTAAGCTAAGCTAAGCTAAGCTAAGCTAAGCTAAGCTAAGCTAAGCTAAGCTAAGCTAAAGCTAAGCGAAGCTAAGCTAAAGTTAAGCTAAGCTAAGCTAAGCTAAGCTAAGCTAAGCTGAGCTGAGCTAAGCTAAGCTAAGCTAGGCTAGGCTAAGCTAAGCTAAGCTAAGCTAAGCTAAGCTAAGCTAAGCTAAGCTAAGCTAAGCTAAGCTAAGCTAAGCTAAGCTAAGCTAAGCTAAGCTAAGCTAAGCTAAGCTAAGCTAAGCTAAGCTAAGCTAAGCTAAAGCTAAGCGAAGCTAAGCTCAGGGTAAGTTAAGCTAAGCTAAGCTCGGGGAACCCAGGGGGCGCAACTGGGGGAACCAGGGGGGCGCAACTGGGGGAACCGCCCGGGGTGGGTTTCATTGCCCGCCCCCTTTAGCAAAGAAAGTAAGAACCCTTCTAGGCAGAGCCTAGGTAGGGAACATACACCACAACCACAACCACCACCTCCATTCCCTCTCCCTTCCCCTGCTTCCACCTCCATTCCCCTTCCAAAAATATGCACCACCACTACCCTCCTCTTCCTTTCCCCTTTCCTAGGAGAGGGAGGGGATGAGGGAGGTGGTGGCGGCGTGTATGATTGGCCCCCGTATATCGACCTCGCTGAGTTGGACCAGCCGGCCTCGGAGCAAACAGTGTGGAGGGGGTGGTGGCAGGTGTACTCCCTACCCGCCACCGTGCCCCCCAGCCGACTGCTGCCGTGGCTGATTACCAAGCGAGCCCTCGCAGAAGGCGGCGGGTTCGCGCTCCCGGATGCCAAGACGGCCGAGGCGGGCGACCAAGACCGCCAAGGTGGCCCACGGTGCCCACATAATGGCCCCACGGCCAAGTCGGGCGTGTCCCCCTAGAGGCGGAGTTTGGGCGAAAAATGAAAAGCAGTTTTTTTCTTAATGAAACAAATACACCCCCAAAATGTGCAAAAATAGTGCCCGACTTAACCCCACGGCGGCCCAAGGTGGCCTCGAGATGGCCACGGAGGCCCCCAAAGACTGACCAAGAGAGCCACAAGAGGGCCCCACGCATGGCCCGAAGAAAACAGGATCGAGATCTCCGTCGGGCTTTTGCAGTATCTGCGCGTCTTCACTCTTGCGGGCTGCCTTCAGTTCCAAACGGGCCCAGAGACCTCCAAGAGGGCCCCTAGACGGCCTCAGACAACCCCGAGAGAGCCCCAAGCTGGCCAAGGAGGGCCTCCGGAGGGACCATGACGGACCGAGACGGTCCCATGACGACCCAAACGACGGCCACAACAGACCCCCAGACGGCCAAGAGGACACCAAGACAGCCGACGAGAGGGCCCGGAAACGGCCAGAGAGGGTCCCAAAACGGCCCAAGATGGCCACAAGACGGCTCAAAGTGGCCAAAGGACCCCCAAGACTGCGCAAATCAGCTTTATGAGAGCTCCTCAAGAGAGGGCACGAAAATATCACATGTGACGATCGTCCTCTTCCTCCGCTTCCTCACCACCACCACCACCGCCATGATCATCATCATCATCATCATCATCATCATCATCATCATCATCATCATCATCATCATCATCATCATCATCATCATCACCACCACCACCACCATCATCCTCATCCTCATCCTCATCCTCATCCTCATCCTCATCCTCATCCTCATCCTCATCCTCATCCTCATCCTCATCCTCCTCATCATCATCAGCATCATCATCAACATCATCACAA